AAGGAGCTCATGCCTTTGGCTTGGAGAGCATGTGGGACATGTTACATTCGGTACATTTCTGATGATATAAATCTATATTCTGGGCAGCACTTCTCAACTTTGAAAAATGGTATTTAATTGCTCTGCCCTATGACTCATTAATCTTTCTTTATTGTGTTTGGTTTTGGTTTTACTAAATTAGGTTATGGGAAGCTGGGGGAAAAGGTGAATAGTACAGAGGATGTAATGTTTCTTTTCTGCTGAACACCACATAGTGCTCAAGTATTCCTGAAAGCTAGAGCTGCACCAGAGAAGTCTCTAATGAGCCAAGAAAATTGGCCTTATACTTGAGACCCCTTCAAAGCTACTAAATTCAATCAAGCTTCTTTATAAATCGCTTCCAGCCAGCCAAGAAATAAACAGTCTCTGCCTAAGCTGCCTCTGTAAATCCAGCTCTTTGTGCAACTCCTCAGTTGCTGGTGAGACTTTCTGATTCATAGAGCTTACAGGCAAAGGTGAGTGTTGTAAGCCAGGTAGAACAAGGGTGGATTAGATAAAGTTACAGTCACAAATGCCTGATTTTCTCCATTTTAAGAGTTGTGCGGTGGAGATGATGTTTACGTTAGAGATGTTTGCAGTGTTGATTTTATGCTGAGGGAACATTAATACCTCGTAACTCCGTCCTGCACTGAACTCATGCAGAAATAGCTGAGGATAAACATGCTTCATCCTGAAACCGTCTCAACTAACAGAGAGCTTCTCCTGTGGCAACCAGTTGCCATTGAATCTCTGCACAGACCCACAGAATAATGTAAGCTGGAAGGGATGTCTGCAGGGCACCGAGTCTGACACCCTGCTCAAGGCAGGGACCGCTTGGAGAAGGCTGCTCAGGGCAGTAAAACTCTTAACACAGTACCTGCTGGAGACACAGAAGGAATTTCCCTGACTCCATTTGGTGTTCCCTGGGGCCACAGTTCCCCTTTGTGCTGCTGATACGTTATCCTTCAGACTAAGCATGGCAAAACATGAAATTCTCATGAGGAGTAAAGAAGCTTGTGGCGTTGTAGCCTCTGAAGGGGAGGCAGAGCACGTGCTGCATTTCTGAACGCTGCAGCCACTGCTGTACCGTCCCTGATCAGCCGTTACAGTGCGAGGTTACGGGACCGAGACCCCGCAGCAGCAGTGCCACTGAATGGCTCCATGCAGTCAGTGTGCTAGATTTGCCTCTGTTGCCTCTGGATGCAAATGGCACATTAATACTGGTGCTGCTGATGAACTGGCAGCAATTAAGCACTCTTCTTCTCTTGACCACTTAATAGGAAAACAAGAGGTCTACGTACCGTGATGAATGTGCTTTATGGCTCTGACCGATCAAACTCCCACCGCTGCCTGCTGATGCGTGGTGCTTCTCCACAGAAACTTTCAAGAGAGTTTGGACTGTTGATGGCTCAAAAAACCCATTTTAAAAAAAATCTGCCTTTGACTAAGTAGTCTCCCTGTAAGTGGTTTTAAATCTCTCAGGAAGCCTATCTTCAAAGCTTGAGTATTAATGAGTACATTTAAAGGTTTTAAATTGACTACAGGTTGATAGGTTGATGAAGACCTTTCAGCAGAACATATCTCCTTCCATTTGGGGAGACAAAGTTACATTGCTGCAAATTATGAGAAGCCTGAATTTTTAACTGAGCTCAATTCACGTATACTAGAGAAGCCTGTAAGAGACTTTGTTCAAAAAGAAAGGGAAATAAATCATTTATTAGCCTTACTTTTTATCACTGCATCTGGGCAGAGGTTATCTTCCTATTTACTTGTTTGCCTCATCCACTGTTACCCCTTCTCCCTTGTGATGTGAGCTCTCCCCTTCTCTTGGGAAGGAGCTGTCAGCTGCTGTGTGTTTGCACAGCATCTCATACAGTGGACTAAGCCCCTAGGGGCCACCAAAACAGGAAACATCACACAGTGATACCAGCTTTCCCAAAGGCTAACAACTCTGAGATGGCTATTCGCTTTGATTGCCCAGAATCAGGTGCTTTGATCCAGCCTTCAGCAAATAGTTAAATTTGCTGAAATTCATCTCATCCTCATGCAAACTTTTTAAACAGGTCAGAAGAATTACGCTCCAGAAATGCCTCTTTACTTACTAGCAAAAGAATATTAAGGTGACTACCTTTAATGAGATGCATGTGTGGGCTGCATTGAAGCCAAATCCTATTTGTATGAGGATTACTATGAAAGTAGACATACAGAAAGGAAAAACAGCTATGAGTTTTACCACCTTCCATTTAAACAACACAGCCACTTTCTGAGCAAGCACCATCACTAGGCTGGGAAAGCCACCACATCTTCCCTAGGGCCCACCTCACCTGCTTTCCGATGTGTCCAATGAAGCAGTCCACATTTGAGCTAGTGTCCCTGAGTTCCCCTTACACTCAATGGGAAGATATACACATGCTCAGAGCGCAGTGTATTTCACCTGCATGAAATACCTGCCTCATGATGAAATGAATGATGCCCCAGAAGAACCTGCTTCTCTGTACTGGCTATCCAATTTTCCTCTACACCATCGACATGAAACTGGGTTCTGGAGCTGCCCAAGAGCTGATGCGCCTCGGAACGTAACCCCTTCACTCTCTGTGAGGAAGATGACAATGCCAGGAATGTCTAAAAGCAACCCTTAGGCTTCTCTCTATATTAGGAGGGAAGGAAGTTTCAGCCTAAAAGGCAAGGAAGAATCTAGGATAAAGGACAGAGCTAGATCCTGGACAGGAGAGGTGATTTTCTCTGTCTTTAACTGCTATGAAAGCAAAGGGATGAGCAACAGGAGAAGCACAGAGAAATTACCAGAGAAAGGGTGCAATAAACATGCTAAGAACTGTGTTACCAGTACCTCGGTACAGTGACAGTAATGATGGGGTGAGACAAGGAAAATGTCTTTTTCCAAACTACTCTCAAGCTGAACAGTAAATGGCACGCCTGGAATTTCTGTGTAACATTATTATTGGATTTCATTGCTACAGGAGACTGTAAAGCTTTTCCTATCCCACAGTGACACTGCTGACGTCAATTGGTGACAGAATAGTGTTCTTCGCATTTACAAATTTCCTATAAAACTTGCTATTACGCTCAAACTTAACAATAATTTATCCTTCTGTGCCCTACAAATTCTGCAGGCAGCTGAAGATCCATTCAAATGAAGTAACCCTGCTAGTTTACTGACTCTTCTGCTCTGTTCACAATTACCACCCCATAACAGGTATTACATAGCATCTAAAACACATGGAAAGTCTTTCCAGTGAATGTGATTTCCTTTGCATATGTGATGTAGCTGAAGATTTCAGGCATCTTCTTCTAATTAGACAGTAAAATGTGTAGCACCAGATATTGTGTGAGAAGAAAAGAAATGTTCTGTAAAACTTTTTTTTTTTTTCTCAGAATACTTCTGGTGTGTTCTAAGGAGGAATGAGATTGGAGAAGTTAGCACTCTTTCTGACCCTTAAAGCAAAACAATTTTCAGTGGACTGTTATGCCTGGAAAGAAACAATCCTCTATCCTTTCAGCAAGGTAATGGACACCATCAAAACGTAGTAAAAGTTTCACTTGCCTCCTCAGAAAACGTTGTCAAGTGAACAGCATTTTGGAAGGCTGGATGAGAGTATGGGCACTAGGTTTCCCTGCTTACAGAAAGACCACAGACAAGGAGCTTTTAAAAAAAGGTTCTGCACATAGATTCACTCTTTGCTTGTTCATGGCTTACACTGCCTCACCATCCTCTGCAGGCAAGGCAAAAGCACTGCAAATGATGAAGCCTGTATCTAAGAGGAGGAACCATCCATGGGGATGTATGAAGTGACTGGCAGGGAAGCCCTCTCTGTCAAACCCAACCGCTGCAGTCAGATCCTGAGGACTGGCCCAGCACAGGGGACGGACGTGGCTGACTCCCACCTCCTTCTCCTTGCACCTGTGAGTGTGGGGCTTCCTGTTCCCAGTACAGAGACTACCCCAAGATGAACGATAAAGTAATTACTCGGTTCTTCAATGCACACTTCATTTCCCTTTTCTGAATCACAGTTCAAGTCCCTTTTAGACGTACCCTTGACATCAGCACAGTAGTCTAACTACAGACAGTCCTAACTTTAAAACAAACTACATCAATACTGTATAATGGATAGGATTCAGTTTACATGCCGGATACATATGCAAGTATGTATGTACTTTGCAAAAAAGCACTGGAAGTTAATTAGTTTTTAAACTTATAGGCATATATTTTAAATTTTCTTTGTTCTTTTCTTAGAAGCTTGTTGCTTTTCAGTGCAGCAGTACCGTATGCTACTGTGTTAACAGTATCAGGCTACTCAGATGTGTCCAGAATGTTCTGATAAGGCTCCAGTGCTGAACGCATCCCAAGGGCTCTCTCCTCCTGCCAAATCCTAGGGGAGACAGGGGTGCCTCAGCTCCTCAGAGGATCTGTTGTCCCAACGTGCTTTGCAGTAGGGAGACAGACTGGAATTGCAGTTTAGTCCTTCAGTTCACTGGATAAAAGTCATCTCTATGCATAAGTCCTGTGCACCACCTAAGGTCCTCTTTTAGACCTGCAATTAGGATGTGAAATACATACAAATGGTGTAGAGATCTGACTTTGGTTGCCGGCAGAGGGGTGAATTTCACCTACTAGGAACAGCTACAGCCAGGTTTCTGAATCCACGTGACAGCGCTGAGAATTCGCACCGTTTACTGGCTTGGCTGGGGAATGAAGTTGCTCACACAAAATGTTTGACACTTTTGCAGGAATTTGGCTTATTTTGTACTAGAGAACAGATACGCTATACCTGAATTTCTAAACTTCTTGTACTGGCATCAGAGTAACTAGAAACCACAAAAAATAGCATGGGAAAAAAAAAAAAAAAAGAGAGTAGACTATGTATAGATATATTTACATCTACATACATCTACATATAGAAGGTTCTGTTCACTGGAAACCCTATAAGCCACTGCCTGCAATAGCATCCATCCTAAGGGAACTCTAGAGATGATTCTTAAGAGACTGAGGAGATGGGGTTATGAGGTGAACCCATCTGTGTCAGCACCTTATCCAGCCATTGCAATGGTCCATGCAGGTGGATCTCAATCCAGCAGGGCGTGCTTGTAACATCTTGGCGATGATACTCGGCTCCCCAGCCCTATAAAAGCATCAAAGGACCAAAAAGTGAGGTTTTTCAAAAAAAAAAACAAAACCAACATTAAATCACAACTCTAGTGCTGACAGTCTAACACAGCTACAGGTAGCCCATCACCTAAGATTTAATGCTTTGTCCTAGGGATAATTTTCTTTAGAAACTTTGCTCCTTTTTAAGGTCGTCGTTACCATAGTTATCAGGAACTCTATACTATTAAATTAAAAATGCTCAGTCACACTTCCAGGTGCTGAGACCAACTGGAAAGGCCTGTTCCCAAGCTTGGCTGCCTGCAAACAGCCCATGGGGAATGGTCCCTGCTGTTCGCACCCCAGAGACATGCCCAGGAAGGTCTGCCAGACTGCTGTCTGGCACAGATGAAAAGCAGGCCAGGCCCTGTCATAACACTTTAACAGGAACTGGGAATGATCCTGGGCACTGCTTCATTTATTGGTAGAGAAGCAACCTAATGAGTCTGAGACTCTAGAAGTTCTAGGTATTTATCTGAACTTCTGGAAACTTCCAGCAAGGTTCCTATGTACCATACCTAACCTATGTATAGATGTTTTCCATAGGTTTTCTATCCTTGAGCATGTTCCCTTTTCCCACAGGAGTTCCCAGCTGTCTGCTGTGGGAAGTCCTGAAGTAATCTCTCCAGCTCTTTCAGGGGAAATAAGGGATATGGAGCATCTGACAGAAGATGGGGATGTGATGCTGGCAGGGAGAAAAGAGAACCAGAAGTCCCCACACCTCAAGCAGGCACAGTGTCTGCTTGTTAAGTAGGCAGCCTGTTTTCACAGCAACACAAGACATCCAAGTCACAGCCCAAAGTCTTGCAACCCACTGTCTGTCTCACTGCCAGAACTGAACTCAGATTTCCATAGGGCAAAGTACAAAACGTGGTCCCACTGCAGGACGAGGCTCTTCATTTGTGGGCCGCTGATCAGAGAAGCTGAGCCTTACCTATCGGTATGCTAGTCAGGTGGGTTGATATTCTTGTCGTGGAGGTATATTAAGATCGATGCCTGCCAAAGGTACCTAAATTGTAGAGTGCTGAACAACTTGGACAACTGAGGCTACTAGAACCCGCTTCTCTAGACAATCGGCTGCAAAACTAGGATCAACACCAAAACTAGATGCCATAATAACTGGTCTCAGTAAATCCATTTCACAGAATGGCAAAGGTTGGAAGGGACCTCTGGAAATCATCTAGTCCAACCCCCTGCTAAGGCAGGGTCACCTACAGCAGGTTGCACAAGATCACGTCCAGGCAGGTTTTGAATATCTCCAGGGAAGGAGACTCCACAACCTCCCTGGGCAGCCTGTTCCAGTGCTCTGTTACTCGCAAAGTTAAGAAGTTTTCTTCATTTCTACTTAATGAAGAACAGGGCGAAGAAAGCAGAAGAGTAAGACATGGATCCACCAAAGCCCAAAGAGTACTTTTAAACAGGCATCACTTTTTCTGACCTGCAGGCTAGAAAGGGCCTGTGTTCACAGGCACCTCAGATTAATGTTCTGGAAAAGTTTGCAGAAGATGCCACTCTTTAAATCAGTGCAGTCAGACTTCTGAGTTTGTGAAGTCTTAAGTACTCAGCTGCAGTGAAGATACATGGCCAGAAGGGCAAGTGTCAGAGGAGTCGGTGCAGCTCTACCAGGACAGATTCCAGGTTGCAAGCCCAACCTGCCCGATTTGGAGGAGCCTGAGTGCTGGCAGCTGCCCACCTCCATCTGCTGGCAGCTTCCCCAGGCTCCCGGCACTGCTGCTGCCTCAGGCTGCCGGCTGGAGCTCCCAGCCTGAGAAATGTTCGGAGGACAGGACCCCCTCGGCCTCCTGTATATCACTCTTGGGATGAAGGTAGCCTCCTTCATCCTCAAGGGCCAACATGGACCCGGTGGTGGAGCTCTCTTAATGAGGGAATAAAATGAGAACAACTTGAAAAAACTGTGGTGGTGTTTTGCACAGATGGTGGGAAGAGAATACAGATACCCCCACGGGGAGACCAGAAATGCACCCTCTGTCATGGTGGAGATCAGCTGAGGGGTCCTGCTGCTCCTGCCAGTCTTTCCCACCTTCTGTAGGCAACAGCTCTCTTCAGCCCAGGGTCCAGCCACATCCTGGAGCACTGAGCTGCCTCACGCAGTGGAGCAGGGCCAAGTCCCCTTAGCCCCAAGACCGGGGGGTATGTGGGAGGGAGAGTGCAGGGTTTAGACCTCAGCTTGGAGAAACTCTCTGACTCTCCACTTTGTGCTTCAGCTGCCTCACCTCTGGAGAGGGGACAACAGATATCCTGCTTTGGTTATCAGCAGGGCTTGGTGGATGAAAACTGCTGCCTGCTCTCACTGATGAGACACATTTGCCTGAGGGTTGAGCTCCTCCCAGCTGCTCCATGGGCACATGAACAAAGGGTATCAGAGGCAACAGGACCTTCACCTCCCTCTGTCCCATGTCCTGCCTCCAGGAGATGATACAGTCCTGGCAAGTGTCTCATGTCTTGGTCCCTGCCCATCCCTGCCTCCCAGCTGGTAGCTCAAGCATTGGTGGGGTAAGAAGCAGGGTCTCCAGCACTTTGGCTCTGCTTGCCCTGTGGGCTGTAAGTGACCATGAATCAGGACTGCCCTGCACCTCGGGGCTCTTGGGTGTGCAGCTCTGACAGAAAACATGCTCCCCTGTGCACTGCATACCCAACATCCAGGGGTATTCCTGTCCCCAGACTGAACACACTGGGGCTCACACCTTGGGAGAGAAATAATTTGAGAAGACTGAGTACAGGAAAGGGTTTTTACAGGCCAGGAAGGAAGGACCTAGATGAGCTTTGCATAACCATTTTCCAAAGGTCATGGGAAAGGATTCAAAATAACTCCTTACACTGTTCTTCTGGTGCCTGAGGCACTACAGTGGCTGCTATTGTTTCAACAAAGCAAGGTGATAATATGGCAGCAGTATTATTTAGGGTATCAACATCACCATTTCTGCTGCCATGCTGGGCATGGAGGCAGATAACACATCAAAGAGACTGCCCCTGAGTTGCTCAGATAATGAAAATATTGCGTAACTGGCTACAACGCCTTTACAAATAACATGCCCATTCATGTCTTCCATTAAAGAAAATGCTGTTTGTTGGGTTTCTTGCTTTCTTTTCTTCCCGTAATGCTCGTGTGTGAACAAGATGTCAGTTCCTTGTCAAGAACAAAGCAACAGTGTGGTCACGAGCAGGGAGATTTTGGCTTGGACTCTTGGGAGAAGTTACAAGGCACTCTTAATGATCTGAGAGAGTTAAGGAGACGGGTCCCCAAGGATGGCTGAAAAGAGTCAGACCAGAAAGCTTCATAGGACTCAACTCATCTGCTTTGCAGAACATAGGGGAACTGGTCTTGAGCCTTGAGCAGTTTTGTAGTATGTAAATTCAATCAGCTTGATTCAGTCATTTATATAGAACCAAATCTGCAAGACAAAGGGACATACTCAAGCTACTTCTTATGGTATCTTGCAGGACCAACTGGCTTCTAATGGTGCATATTCTCTAGTTTGCAGGCTGAACATTGCTGCTAGCTCTCCCCAGCAGCATTATAGGAAGTCAGTCCAGCATATCTATAAACAGTCTTGAAATACTGTTCTTTGGGGTTTAGATGCTACAATAGGCACCTAAGTAAATCCTAAGTGCTAAAAGGAGTCAAGAGAATTTATTCTGGTGAGAAGGCCATTCAGAAGACTGATACATCACACACAGAGCAGTCAGACTGCAAAGTTCAGATACGAAAGACATGGAAACAGTGATGGCATTGGTGGCCTCCTGTCTCTGCCAAACAGCAGGGGGAAAGGTCAAACGTTCTTTTGGGTTTTGGATACTGCTTGCAAGAAGCCCCTTCTGGTCGTGTGGCTGGCCAGAGTGAATGTCATCAGAAATTAAGACAATCTCTTGCCAGGGAGCAGACAGGTGGCAAAAAACAATTCACAGCAAACTCAGTGGGGGCTGAAGGAGAGCCCAGTGTTTCTTGACTGAGACTGTACATACCAGTCAACAGTAATGGTGAGACTGTAAATTAGTCTAGAGACACAAGGACATTCTTTTCAGATCTATGGCTCTGCCAAGCTCTATTGCAAACCAGTAACGACAGGAGAGATCACAACTGCCTAAAATATGTGCTACAACATTTACATGTTGCTAAGCCTCTCTAGGTTGAGCTCTTTATGCAATCAATGGGGGAACATCACCATGCAATCTGTTTATTTGCCACAAAAAGCCTATGGAATCTTTGAAATCTAAGAAATTTCCAGGTTGACCACAAAAGCTACTGATTTTAAGCACCTAGAAGGCCATACTGGAAAATAGGCAGTCTGAATTGCTGTTTGCAAGTTGGGTGTCTAAATCCCCACTTGGAAGGGATTTGGTGGAGTTTAGCTTTGCATCAAAGCTAGCCAGTGATGGGATTTGCCTTTTCAGAAATGTAAGAGAAAAGAAAGAATCCTTACTTTAACAAAGCTCATTCGAATAGTACACATCTTGGTCAGCTCATACACCACTTCAAAACCATGATTGACTGACTGGGCAAGCAGCTGGGCGAAGAGCTGGTTGTTGAAGATCTTGAGACTGCAGCCACTGGGGATCTTGCAGACAGTGGCTGGGTGGAAACCATGCTGGTAGTTACAGTTGCGGCTTTGCACAAAAATACTGCTGTCACTGACACATTCAGCATAAACTTCCCCACCAACATAGTAGAGGTGAACACCTTGAAAAAGAAAAAAATAACATGTAGTAATTTTCCACTGTTCACACCACACTGTATGCTTGTAATTCTTTAACTATTTTACTGGTGTGGGCGTACAAGCCCACAGGATCATTCCAGGCACTCAGTGCCTATACATTGCCTTTTAAAAGACAGTAAACTGTGTACATATCCATGTATCTGTACAATGAACCCACCAGCATTGTCATAAACACTATTTTGAGGTCCTGGTCTAGGAGACAAAAGTCTTGGCACATGATGTTTTTCTTTGTTTCTCAGTGAAGGTTGGTTTACCTCTTTAATGCAACAGCATAGTACTTTATGACAAGACACACACACACACAAAAAAATAGCAAACATATGTCAACCATATACAAAGCATGAATCAAACTGTCAAAGAACTGGCAAACCTGTTACGCATTACACATCTAAATGTATTTTCACTGTCGAGCACTTGCACGCTGACCAAGACCCACTTTATTGCACGCTATTTTTTTACTATAGGATCCTACCTCATGGAGCATAGTGTGTAATTAAAATAGCTTTTCTGCATTTTGCTTTATCTACCACATCAGAACCATGTATTTGCATTTATGTGACATGACTTACTCATCAGATCCTGTTTAAAGTGACCTTTGGCAAGAAAATGACTGATTTCCTTCTGGGCTTTTCAGTGCCCGAGTGACTTACCAACACTAACTCTCAAATTTTTAGATGGAAGCATTTCTGTCCAAAGACCCTAGGATGTCTGCTTGCATGAAAATACACCCAAATTAGTGGGAGAATTTATCTTAGCCCAATTCAGCAACCTTAAAGTTAGGGATCTTGTGTAAGCTAATTGTGTAGATGCCATCTCTAATTGATAGATGATGAGAGGCACTGTGAGCAGATGATTCACTCCATCCGCTACAAAGTGCAGGCTTGCAGCCAGCTTAAACTGATGGAAGTCTGTGCAGGTGCTGAAAAGGCGCTTGTTCCCTGCCCCTGCTGCTTCTTCCCACACCTGCTTTCATGCTGGCAGCAATGGCTGGGGATTGGGCAGCCATCCAGACTGAACCAGCTAATAAACTTGAAAACAAACAAAACAAAACAAAAGAAGATTTATTTGCAGCGAGATCTTCATCAGCGCAAGCTTGGTAATGGGGACCCAGACTGCTTAAACGTGAGCATAAAACCACACCCTGAAGGGGGTCAAGTCTTCCTGTGAAAATGCCTAGACATTCACCCTTCCCATGGCTAGATCAGGGGAGAAGAACCCCTCCCTTGTCCAAGACAGGTGGAAGAACTCAGTTCTTTGTTCTCATAAAAACCACCACTAAATGAAAATAAAATCCTCCTCTCTATTCCCAGGTACAGCATTCAAACCCTTACATACAAATGCACAGGTTCACAGAGTCTCAGTGGACTGCCTGCAAAGCTAGTGATAACTATGCTTTAATAATTCAGTTGTAATTAGTTTTATTCCTATTGTCTGTCATACAAAAAAGACTGGTTGCATATTCCCAGCCTGTTCATCATTCTGTGGTCATGACAGCAAGGGGCAGCAGCACATCCTTAGGACAAAAGCAGCCTCTAAACAGAAGTGGGAAAGGCTCAGGGAAAAGCAGGTTGAGTGGGAAAGGAATCTGGGAAAAATACGCTCTCACATAGACTTCCAGGGTGACTCAGATGGGAACCTTAAAGTCTGTCTTCAAGCCATCACTTGACTTTTACTTCTATGCACCCACGAGATCTCAAATTAGATGTAAGTGGCGGGGGTGTGGCTCAGAGCACATGCCAGTATTGCGGTGGGAACACTGGTGAGATGACAGCTCCGTTAGACCAGTCATCAGCTCCAGTCCAGATGCATTGGACATTATGGGGTGCTGCACATTGTGACTGCTATTACTTGACCTATGTTTCCTTTCTCTTCTGTGGAAGATGGATAAAAGGGAAGGACTGAAAACACAAAGGTCCTAGCTGACCTTGATGGAGTCCATGTAACTTTCTGAAATAAACAGATAGAGTGAGAACACAGGGTAGGGAGAGAAGAACAAGGACATAAATGTTCACCACATTTCAAATCTTCAGGTATGGCTACTGATTTAGTGTGACCACACTTCTAGGTGCTAAGGCAAAAAATTTTAAAGGCTGGATTTTCAGAGCATATTGAGTAATCCAGCTTCTGAAGAAAATGAATGCTTGCAAAGGCATATATGTATTATATGTATCTATGTACCATATATATGTACTATAATAACAATAACATCAAAGTCACTTCTGAAAGTAGAGGCTACAATTTGCTTTTTCCTTGTGGACTTTTTAAAAGAAATAAATACAGGAGTAATGAAATGTTAGTGTATATTTCCATTCTTCTGGTATTCATTCACCAGAGACAAGCACCCTCAAGGATGCCAAGCAGCTGAATACATATTTGTGGAAGTCCAAATCAAGGGTCCATATGTTTTAGTGAAATTTCATTGCTCTCTGCCGAAACTGGAAATTCAGCAGTCTCCAGGCATCCACATCTTTTTGACACTCTGATCAGAAGTCCTCTTTTTGTCCTTGAAGTCTGACTGCTGAAACAGGTCCAATTGCTAGTAGATGTTGCATTGTGTTCTGGATTGTTTTTAGCTTTGATGTGGTTTTTTCCAGGAAACCATTTCATGCTGATACACTAGATGACAATTCAATCACATATCCTTATCCTACTGAGCTAATCTTGTTTACTCACTCGTTTTTCTCCCATTTAACATGTGACAATTGTATCCATTTCAGTAGCTTTCATCTGTCCAGCATGCCTTTGAACTACACTTGGAGCTGCTCTGTGCTCTTCTGCAGGCCTGTACTAGTGCCACTTCTACTCCACTTGAACATGTTTTTTTTAAGATTTGCATAAACAGGGAAGAGCAGTAAAATTGAGGATCTCTGATATACTAAGCTCCTCTCTGGGCAACCTGCTCCCTTCCCTTGGGCAGATTCCTAGTGTAACACTTTAAAGGACTTTTAATTAATGAAGACAGATCTTCAGTTTTGAATGGATGAGGACCATTAGCATTTACCTCATTTTCTTTCTGTTCTCTTCCTCTTTTTGGGCAGAAAGTCACAGGATGTAACATCCTCAAGTAACAGCTTTGACTGAGATCTTTTTTCATTCTTCCTTTAGGGCTGGGCTCAGCTTTGATCTACACCCCTCTGACAGCTTATGCTGATAGAGAAGCTTTGCATTCTTTTCTGAGTAAGTTAGAACTAGATGTACAACTCATTTCCACCCCTCACAACAAACTACTATGACAGACACTTGTAGCATCACACTGGCTTCACACAGTGCACCTGTAACACAAGTGCTTTCCCTTCTGGAGAGAAGTGCAAGAGCTAAGTACAACACCTCCTGCGCTAGCCTTCAGGTTCACTGTTGTTTGTAAAAACTATGTCACATTTGTCTCAGAGCTTCCTCGTATTCAGTCATTCAACACTAGACTATCAAAAGCAAATTAAAATACTGCTCTAGGCCTGGGAAATGAGGTGAGGTTGACAAGATAATAGGAGTGGAACAATTAGAGTTAATTAGCCCAGTGGGAAATCCATTCCCAGGCAGCTGCTGGTGAGAGGCTGGATTGGCAAGATAATGAGTCTAGACTGGATATACCAGAACAGGCAAAGCTTCACCTGCACAGAGAAGTGGCCAGTACAGGGCTTCTGACTCACTGCCACAAACAACAGCAAGTTCTGGGAGAATATCAGGCCCTACACAGCCCTAGTGAGCTGGGATGGAGCATGTGTGGCCATGCATGTCCAGGTGTGGTGCCCTTGTGCTTGTCACCAGTACATATGATCCTGCATGCACAGTGAATACGTACACCAGAAGGGGAGCATACAAGGAGAACTTATACGCTGGAGGGAGAACCCAAGACTCAGTTTTACTGGTGAGAGGTTGACAAGACAGAGAATCAGACTGGTAGCGTGGAAAAGGCTACAAAGGCAACTCTGGTAGAGTTCTTCAACTAAGTAACTCAACTACTAAGTGTTTCATCCATCTCCCTTTGTTATTTGGTGGGAGGAGAACCAGCCCTGAGGCACCAGCAATTATGCTTTTAGTGGCATTTCAATGGCAATATTCCCAGTTGCCAGAAGCTCTAATAAATAAAATGAAAATACATACTGTTAAATTAGAACACACAACTATAAACAACATTTTTCTCTTAGCTGGCCAAGTAAATAGCTTTTGCAAGGAGTTACTCTGCTGATTGTTATCCAGTCAGAAAAGAATCAGCTGTTTTTCTTCTATTTCAAAAGTAATCTCAGAGCTTTGGTTTTAAGACAAGCACATCTGATAAATCAGCTAGGTTTGTTACTGCAATGCACGACTCTCTCAAACTCCGAATATTCCTGAGGAGAAGGGATTTCCTCTTACCTTTTCCTATGTGTCTCCTGGTGTTTTCTATAGTAGAGTTGCGGTTTACATTTGAGAGCAGTCCCAGGCAGAACCTGTTTTTGTTATTTGAGGGATCTGTAAAACCATCTATAAGGATGCTTCGAGAGGAAGCCTGGAACGTCTCCCCTACCCGGTTGTTGAGTTCATAGTAGGCAACTGAGCACCAGTGTTGGGGTTCCTCATAGCAAACAGGCCGAAAGTCTGTAGGAAATAAAGTTAATCAGCTGCTCAGGCCTCAGTAATATTTTTAAACAGTCATTCTCTGCTTTCTCCCCGCCCT